GTGACAAGAGGCAAGAAGGGGGTTGGGGTGGGTGTTGGTCAGTGTGGAGGTTTGGTGGAGAGACGATGTAGGCAGTCCCCCATTAGCATCAATGTTCTCAAAGAAGGTGGGAGAAATGCTGTCTCTTGGCAAAGTGGGCCTCCTGGAGACACTTAGGAGAGTTGCAGATGCCTGTAATGCGACCGTAGTATGTTTGCGGAGAGAAAATCCAGCAGGTCCAGTCACCTCCGTGGCAAGATTTCCTCCAGCAACTCAGCGGCTCCGGCCAGAAACCTTGAAGACCGGATTGGCCTTGGAAGATTTCCATAGCCAGGAGAGTACACCGGAGGAAGAGAGGGACGCAAGGCATTTGCAGAAGAGCACAACGACAGACAGTGGAACCGGGGCTCAGAAGGGTTGTGTAACTTTCTCAAAGTCGCAGAGCCAGTAAATGGTTGGGAACCAGATTGGGGAAAGCGGCGCAGCTCTGGTGTATGGTATCCGGGCGCCTGGCAGGAAAGACAGGACACACTCCCGACTGGGTAATTTGAGGGGCCTGTAATAAAAGGACTACATACAAAGATGCTGGAGGAGGCGAGAATACACCGGGACAGCACTGTGCCTGGGCCCCCTAGTAGGCGATGGGGACAGCCGTGCTAGGACCTGGTGACAGCATGGCTGTGTGGAGAGGGCCTCCCCGTGACTTCCCGGGAGGGAAGCAGCCAGGCTCTGATGGCCCCGCCAAGAGGGAGCCGGGGCACGAGTACCTCTGCCTCAGTTTCCCCACCATCCCTGCCCCAGCGTCCCCCCAGAGGACAAGGGAACCTCCAGGCTCGGAGCAAGGTGCGTTGCAGAATCAGCACACAACCTCGACTCCCCAGGACACAGGTCACCGAACCAGTCTGGGGGTCCACCTTCTTTTAGCTGTAAGATAAGAGCCATCACCGTCTGTGATTTGCAGAGGGCTCTTCCTGCACGCGGGCGCTTTACTGCGATGACCCGCCGCCTGGCAATCACCCCAGCGGCGGCCGCTGGCTCCCACCGAGGCTGGGCCAGTTCGCGCTCCCCTAGGCGCAGTGGGAGCGCCGCGCTGGGAAGCGCTTCCTTCCTCCGGCGAAGCCCTCCAGCCTCTCTTACCGGGAATTTCGAACCCCGCCTCCGCCTGGCCGAGCGGCTGTCGCAGGGCTGGGCAGGTGCCCGCCTCTGGCAGGTAGCTCCCCGCGGGCAGAGCCGCGCCGTCCACCCGCGGAGGAGAGGGGGGTGCCGCGGCCTCCTAGACACCCGGAGACTTGGGAGGCCACCGAAGCTCCTGGGCGCGCCAGGAGGCGCCGCGGAAGCCCAAGCGGAGGGGAAAGGAGACTTTCCCGAGGGCCCGGGTGACCCGCGGGCCGCGGCGGCCGCCGATCTCCGCCTCCCGCCACGCGGCGGCTGTCAGAGCGCCCCCTGGCGGGCGGGCATTGGAGGCGCGGCCGCCGCTGGAGGAGGAGGAAAGGAGCTTGCAGCTGCGAAGCCCCGGGAGGCCGCCTTGCTGCGGTGCGGGGGTGGGGGTGGGGGTGGGGGAGGGGAGGATCGGGGGGGGGGGCACGGGGAGGCCGGGGAGGGGAGGAAGGTCCGGGTTCCGGTGCCGGCCCCGCAGGGAGCAGCTGCGGGCGCCTCCCTTCCCGAGGCCAGAAGCAGAGAAACTTCAGGCGGAAAGCACCGCGGCGATCTGTTGGCTCAAGTCCTCCCTCTTTTACCGATGGGGAATTTTAGGGCCCGGGAATGACACGTCTGGGTCACCTGGCTGGCCGTTGGCAGCAGGGCCCGGGGGAAAAAGGACAAGGGGCTGACCCCCCGAGGCGGCCTTGTCCTTTTGGGGCCAGGTTAGAACCCTCGGAGGCCCCAGGTGAGCCCCCCATTAGGTAATCCCAAACAAACCAACCAAAATAAAACATGAACCATGCCAGGGTGCTCAAATTGAACTCGCTCCTTTCCAGGTTTTCCGAATGCAAACATTCTGAATAATTTGACCAAAGGCAATCCTTTCTCCAGTTGTGGGTGGCGGCGATTTGCTGCTGGCCTGGCTCGTGCGTGGGCGCCCCCTCCCTCCCCCCCGCCCAGCACTGCTAAGCAATGTTTAAGGACAGGAGCTGAAACTGGGTTCACGGTCAGCTTCGCCACTAGCTCTGAGCAGGGGTGAGACTCGGGTTCCGCGTCTGCAGAATGGGAGCGTGGGAGAGCCGGCGTTGGCCCAGGGCAGAGCCTGTAGCGGTAGGCAGGCATGGGGGTTTCGGGGCGCATTCCGAGCCCAGTGGACCGACCAGCCAAGTGGACGGAAGGGCCAAGACGTCGGGTCACAGCCCAGGCGCTGCTCAGGCCGCAGAAGACCCGCCGACCTCGCGCGGCTGGGAGCGCCGAAAACTCCCCCATTGTTCTGGTGGGGGCTGAACGCGCGCCGGGTGGACGCGGGCGGCCACTTGGCTCTGGGGTGCTCAGCTCTGCGGAACACTCCGGGCAATTTCCGATGCCCACTCCCTCTCCTTTCACCACCGGAAGAAGAGCCCTAAATATATCCGGCGGCTTGGATTTGTAATCCTCGACTTTCCTTTTACACTGGGCTTCTCTAGCCCTCAGGACAGAGACCGTTTTTATTAGGAGTATCAAAATCCTTAAAAAAAAAAACAACCCACACACAAAACTGTAAGATTCACACCCATCCAGGCCTGAAGTTTGCCACACAGGGAGCTACAATTCGCCCGAACACACGAATCATAAACCACTACCACCTTCTCCCCCCAAATCTTCAAAAGTCAGCAAATCCATAGCCCCCTCAATAATAATAATTTATTAAAGACACACCCTTTGGAGACACCATTTCCCTCCTCCATTTCTAAAATAAAGGGTCGGGCCAATGCTCAGAAACGCATTCTCGTGTTTTCTAAGTTTAAATAAGTTAACAATTAGCTGATGAAATTTAAAATTAAGGGCGAATAAGTCACTTCTGCAGAACAAATACAACATCCCAGGGACAGGGGTAAAGAAAAGCTGGGAAGAAATCCCCCCCTGCGAACAGAAAAGCAGCAGGAGAATCCTCTACCGAGATGATTTCCCCCTGAGCAGTTTTGTAGGAAGCTGTCTTGCGCGCAAGGTAGTTGCAAAGAGGTGGCGCGGGGCACAGCCGGGACGCGTCGGTCCCACGGTGGCCTCGGGGTTATCTGAACCCTCTCGGGTCATCGCTGTCTCTCCGGTACATTTTCGAACCGGAGGCTGGCTTTTTCAGTGTGCTCCGGACAGAGGGGAACCCGCCCCGGGGTAGGGCTGCGGGGACTCGGGACACTTGGAGGCATTTACTGAGGGAGCCGAGGCTGGTCTCGGACGAGGGCTCAGGTCGGTTCCGCCGCGCACGCTTGCGCAGGCAGTGAACTGCGGCGTGGGCGGCAGCTCTCGGTGAGTCACCCCAGGGGGCGACACTCAGCCCCGGGGGCCCCGCTGGGGTCGGAATCGGAAGGAACGTTCTGTCCCGGAAAGGCGCGAAGCCGAGCGTTGGCGGCCGGCTGGCCCCGCCGGAGCGGGGTTGCAGGCGCGCAAAACTTTCGGGACACTACCGGGGTGAACGTGAGCATCCCGAGCTGCCCAGCTGCAAACGTGCGAACGCCGGGGCAAGAGTGCGGCGGCGTGAGGCACCGGGCGAGGGGTTCCGCCGCGAGGGATTACCGCTCCACCGAAGCTTGGCTCCCCCGCCCCGAGGGTCCCTTTGCAGGAAACTGGGGAGAGCAACTAACACTGGATTTTGTCTTAAGTAAGTGCAACTCAGTGATCGATTTGCTCCAAGTTGACTTTGACTTAAAAAGAAAAACATCGGTGGGAAAGAAACACCACCTGATAGTGTAACAGGTCAGCAAACCGAACTGTCTCTTCAATGAAGGCGAATGGAATGTTGGCTTTAATACGGATTCAGGGAAAGGGGAAGAGAGAACATTGTCTTAAACCTGACGTCCCCAACAAACTCATATCCGGACAAAACTTTCTTTTTTTTTTTTAAAGATTTTATTTATTTATTTGAGAGAGAGAGAACACCTGAGAGGGGATAGGGTCAGAGGGAGAAGCAGACCCCCCGCCGAGCAGGGAGCCCGATGCGGGACTCGATCCCGGGGCTCCAGGATCATGACCTGAGCCGAAGGCAGTCGCTTAACCGACTGAGCCACCCAGGCGCCCCCGGACAAAACTTTCTACACGTGACTTTCACACTCCCTTTTCGACCACGGGAAACTTCCTACCAGACTGTCTCTCACAGTTCATTTCTTCCTTCGCTCCCCCGACCTCTCCCGGCGGTTTGGGAAGGTAGGGAAGATTTTTCCCCGAAGACAGTTTACACCAATCTCAGTTAACCCACGGCCCGAAAGAGATCAACCCCTGGCAAAGAATAAGAAGGGAAAACTTTTTTTAAAAAGTTGACAGCCATTTACAGACTTTCCACTTAAACTTCCTAGACCGGTGCCTGTCCCGGAAGCCCCCCCACTCCACCCCGCTTCCGAGTCCCCGGCGTGGGATGGTCGGGTCTGGGGGCTGCAGGCATCTCTGGCCTGACTCGCGCTCCTCCAACCCCCTTCCTTCCTACTGCACAACGCGCGCACACACACACACACACACACACACACCACGAGCCCGCCAGCGAAACATCTGGATCTGGACTCGAGTCCCGACACAAGGGCAACGACACGCCAAGGCTGGCTCCTGGGGAGCGAGTGCGGAGACGCGCGCGGCAGCGGGAGCGCACCCCAGCACCGCTTGGCGGGGTCGGGCCTCTCCCAACGCTCCGTCAATCCAGCATCCTTCCGACCATCTGCTCCTGTCACCAGCCCCTGGCTCCGCCCCCCCGGGTCCGCCCCGTATCCCGCAGCCAATAGCAACCTCCGACCTCTCTCCACCGCCCCAAACCCTTTCCACACCCCCACGTTCCGGGAGCCGGTTGGCTGCTGAACGCTCGGCGAAGCGCCTGTAGTCGCAGGGCGCTCCGGGTTTCTGGTAGGTGGAGCGACCCGTCACTCCGGAGGGCTGGGCCCGCCCACCCCACCTCGGTCTCGGGCTCTCTTCCTGCGCAGTTCTTCGCAGCCTCCGCGGGGAAGTGCCGGGGCAGCTCCCTGGGCTCAGTTGGCAGGAGCGCGAGAAGGCAGCCCCGGCGAGCGGCCGTGCGCACCGTCTGGAGTGAGCAGGGAGCGGGAGTGCGTTGTTCTCTTGCCCGAGCAGGAGCAGCTCCTGGGCCAGCAGTGGCCGCCACCCCGACTTTCGTTCCCGTTGAGGCTCCTCCCGGGCAACATGTCAAAAGCCGCCACCACTACAGCTGCCGCCGCCACCTGGGGAAGAGCAGCGGCGGCGGCGGCGGCGGCTGCGGGCGCGCGGGGGCAATAAGCCGAACGACCCGGGCGTCCCGCGGGCCAGGGAACCCTCTCCGCGCTCACAGCTCCGGCGGGCCCCGCGCCATGTGCTGAGCCATGTCCCTCGCCGCGCCCCCGGGCTGCGCATGGGGCAGCGCCTGAGCGGCGGCCGATCCTGCCTCGATGTCCCCGGCCGGCTCCTGCCGCAGCCGCCGCCGTCCCCGCCACCGGTGAGGAGGAAGCTCGCGCTGCTCTTCGCCATGCTCTGCATCTGGCTCTACATGTTCCTGTATTCGTGCGCCGGCTCGTGCGCCGCCGCGCCGGGGCTGCTGCTGCTGGGCTCGGGGTCCCGCGCCGCCCACGCCCCGCCAGCCCTGGCTCCGGGTCCCGATGGGACTGCCCCCAGGCTGCCGTTGCAGGCGGCGCCGGCCACCCCGCTGGCTGCGGGCAAGGAGCCGGCCGAGGGCGCCGCGAGCCAGGAGGAGCAGAGTCCCGAGACGCCGGACTCCCCCAGCTCCATCTCCAGCTTCTTCAGTGGGTCCGGGAGCAAGCAGCTGCCGCAGGCCATCATCATCGGCGTGAAGAAGGGCGGCACGCGGGCTCTGCTGGAGTTCCTGCGCGTGCACCCCGACGTGCGCGCCGTGGGCGCCGAGCCCCACTTCTTCGACCGCAGCTACGACAAGGGCCTCGCCTGGTACCGGTGAGTTTCCCTACCGGGGCCAGGGCCAAGGGCCGGGGCGGCAGCCGCGATCAAGAGCGGCAGAAGAGGGAGACGTGGCATGTGCTGGGGAAGTGACAGCGGTACAGCCCCGACCACCGGGGGCGGGAGGGGCAGACAGAGGAATAACCCGCGGCGCCCAGAATCCCGCCCCAGCGTGGTACGGGTTGCGCGGGGCTCCGCTCTCTCCACAACGCGTAGAAACTTCTCGAGGAGCTCTGGAGGCTCCGTGGCTCGCGGTGCCCCTAGAATTAAAGAAGGGGACTAGCGATTGGGGTGGCGCCCAGGGAAGCGCGCAGCCTCTAACTGTGGCCGTTTCGCAAACGAATCGATCCAGTGTTGCTCGTAGCTTAGTTTTTCCTTTCGGAGCCCGGGACGTTCTGCGCCCAGCCGGTCACGGTCTCCGCCCTAGACCAACTTCTGGAGCAGCTTCTGCTCCCCAGATGGGGATGGGGATGGGGGTGGGAGAGACGGCGTCTGTAAACTTTTTTTCCAACAGTCCTACTCCGTGCTGGAACCCGAAGAGGGTCAGACCCGCTTGGCGGGCGGGCAGCTTGGGCTCGCCTGGCAGACGGGCAGACGGGCCGACGGGCGGGCGGCGCGGAGCGTGGAGCGGTGCTGGTCCCTATCGGGCAAAGGCGCGCACTGCAGCGGGCGGGAGCGGCGCGCGGCTTTGAAGGCTCCCGGGCGCCTCAGGCTCAGCTCGCTGGTTTCCGCCTCCTGGGCCCGGGTGCCGGCAGAGCGCGGGCAGGGACCCGGTCTCCGCCGACCCTGTACACGTCGGGGCGCCAGGAATGTAAGGGGTTCATTGATTGACAAATGTGCGTTGCCCCGATCGGGGCTTCCGGAAACTCGGTTTTCGGGTCGGGCTGTGGGTCGGGCTCCAAAGGGGCAGCGGCCCTCGGGGTCATAATCACGACCCCTGCCCAACGCTTCCCAAAGCTACCGGTCTTTGGGGTGAGCTTCTGGGTTGACCGAGCTTCCGGTGAGGCGCGGGTGGGCAGGGGGTCCAGATTCCGGCCTTCGGAAACTTCGTCGGCACCCAGGGGCCCCAGCCACCGGCCCCCACCCGTTCTCTCTGGTCATCAACCCCCAACCCTCACAAGTATGCCTCCATCAAGTCCCCGGCAGGCACCTTCCAGGCCCGAGATGCTCGGGACTTCGGAAAACAAAAGGGGAAAGTCGAACCGAACCCCGTCCGCTGCTCCCATCCCCCCTTCTCGGCCCCGGGAGAGAGAAAAGGGGGGCTGAGCCAGCGGATTAAAAATCGCTCTCTTCCCAGCCTCGCCCTCCCCCTCCCTTTTGTCCTTAATGTTTTTCTTATTGTCAGGAGTTGCCCAAGTCTCGAGGCTTAGCCAGCCGTGACAGTCACGCTTCCCAACGTTCGCGGGCCGTGGACACCGGCTGTTAAGAATGGGGGCTCCGGAGTCCCACGTCTGGATTCGCGTCCCGGCTCTGGCGGCCCGCTGGTGGCGCCGAGCCTCAGTGCTCCCATCGGTGCAGTGGGGATCCTGTGGTTCCCACCGGGCGCGGAGGAGTGCGCCGGTGCGCTCGGGTGCCCGGCTGGCACGTGGGGGCACGTGGGGGCCTCTCCGATTGTTACCAGGGGGCCACCGAGTGCATTGTTGTTACTCCTTCTCCTCCTCCTCCTGGGGGCCCGGGCTATAACGAGCGCCCTTCCAGGGGGAACCCACCAGGGGCCGGAGGCAGCTCGGGATTTTCGCAGATCAAACTAGGGGCTGGGTTGGGAGGAACTGGCAGGAAAAGCGCTGAATCCGTCAAGGCAGGAGGTCGTAGAGCACCTGGGGCAGGCTGTGGAAATCCCCACAGGAAGATTCACGAAGGCTCTTAGGCGGCCGCGCTCCACCTGCCACGTTCCTTTCGATTGACTCAAAACTGCTGAAGAAAGGACGAAGCCGCACTGAAAGCCTCGCCGCGCGCCCGCCGCGGGGAGCGCAGCCGGGGAGCCTCGGGCGGGACCGGGCGCCCGCGGGCCGCGTTGCGAGCGGCTGCGCCGGGCCCCGGCACTGCGGGGAGGCGGGAGGTTCGTCGTCTTCCCTAGCGGTCCCCCTAAACGGAGGGGCCGGACCGACGGGGCCAGGAGCCCCAGGGCCGGCGGCGCTCGCCCCGCGAGTGAGCGGGGTGGCGGGAGGGGCAAACTAGAGACCCCGCAGCTCGCCCCCCGCGCCGCGATCCGGGGCTGCACTTAGCGGCGCCCGGCGGGACCGCAGGCTTGGTGGATGTTTTTCGGCAAGGGAAAAAAAAAAAAAAGGTCTTCCAAAAATGCCATCTGCTTACTTAATTTTTTAATTGATTTAGAATATTCTGGATGTCTGGGCCAACGTGTGGACTCAATTATTTTGCAGGCAGCCGCTTTAACTTTAAACAGACCCCACCGGGAGGAGACGCCTGTCCCAGAACGCTTTTCCTAAAATCCGGTGACCGGGGAGCATCGCTCGCCCTGGCTGGAGCTCTCTGGGCTCAGCCCGAGCCTAGCTGCTCGCGGGGAGGTGCGTGTGCCTTTGTAGCTCCCGCTGCGTCCGCACGGTCAGGCCGCAGACTGGAGGCGAGTATAAATAATTATTAACCGGAGAGCGTTGCAGTTCGGAAACGTGGTTAAAAACCGAACCCGAACAGAGGAGAGGGGGGGAGACATTCTGGAGCCATTAAGAAACTACGGGCACGGGTGGTTGAATCCGACAGGCAGGCTGGCAATCTGCAGGAGAACGAGGGCTTGGCTGAGTCTGTGCAAGTCGTTAATGGGTTTAATCCGCTGATACACAGTCTTCCTAGTGGCCTAACCAGTAAACCCAGGGCCTGGGCACATTTGCATGAATCTTAGAATTGGATCGCAGCTCTTTCCACTTTGCGTCGTGAGACATGATCGGCCCGAAAGGGAGGGATCGTGGTGGGATCGGAGCCTCCCAGGGTGGCGACACGGAGCTGACCTTGCCACCCGTCGGAAATCAGGCGCTTTTCGGCTGCTTTACTTGCTACAAAAATCGAAAGTGCTAGTAGGTGTGCTTCCTCTGCCCGGGACCCGAGTTTGTTTTAGTCTGGGATTAAGACTCTTGTGGTTTGTTTTTTGTTTTTTTTTGTTTTCCCCCCAGTTCATTATCCAGCTCGCTTTTTCTCTCTCTGATCAGGCCTCCCAAACTTAACAGGTGTTTAAAGGACCCCCACGGAGTGGCTCATCAGGACTTCTGGTGAATCTAGCCCTTACCTTCTGTGTCATGGTTGTGAAGGTGTTTGAGAAATAGGGGGGCAGTGGTTCAGGAGACCCTCACATATGCCAAGCCTGGAGAAAGCACCCACCCCCTACATTTAGGCTCTGACTATGGGTCTAACCTTTGAATTTAAAAAGAAATACGTACTTTCTTTAATCAGTTTCTCTTCTTGATTTGGCTCAAGTGTGGTAGAGTTTCATGAATTTTAATGACCCCAGTTTGGGGATTAAGTTAGGCAAATACTGTGTGATTCTTGGTTTTTTGTATAGAGAAATACGCCTTGGACAGGACAGTGACAGAACTCCTTCCCCCACCTTGGCTCTTTCCATTTTTGGTTGTACAAAATAAGCTGACACTTCAATGCTGTGGCCACATTAAAAAAAAAGTATAGTGTGTGGGTGGTTTAATAATGTTGATAGCTAACACTTACTGAATGTTTTCCCTGTGTGCCAGGCACTGTTTCAAGTTTTACAGGATTAGCAAATTTAATCCTCATTACAATCCTGTGAAGTAGGTACTTTTACAGGCGAAGAAACACAGGCACAGAGAGGTTAAGCAGCCGGCCCAAGGTCTCACAGCCAGAAAGTGGCAAAGGCTGATACAGCCACCCAGGCAGTCCTGATCCAGAGGTCACCCTGTGCTGTGCGCTTAAAGTGACCCAAGCATGATGTTGGCCACATATGATGAGTTCAAAACTGGGTTTGCTTTGAAAGAGTTTGCGTTTCTCTGCTGCATAGGACGGTCAGAGTCCATGGAGTCATTAAAATGACAAAAATATCACTCAAATATACAGGCGGAGAAAACATAGGGAGTGTCCCTAGTGAGAGCAGATTTATTCTTTTCCATTTGCCTTTTTTAAGGCTGGGAGGTGTTTGGGAGGACATAGGGTTAAAGAAGATGTTACAGAACTTCTTGGAATGAATTTATTCATTAAAAAAAAAAAAATACAGTGCCCAAATCCACACTGAAAACTTGTACTCATTAACCAGAAGACAGCTACAACTAACACTTTGAGCAGATTTCTTTAGAAGTAGATTCTAAAACCCAGTCACTTCAGAAATCTCTCTCTTGAAAGCCATTAGCTGAAAGTAGCAACTTTTCCTGCATTTTCAATTTAACAAATGCTGAGAAAACTAATTTCTCCCCTATTTTCCTCGACTGGTTCTGTGAAAACCTGGTGGCAAGGACTGCTTCTGTCTTCGCCGAGGGAAATTTAAGATCCGATCTGATTGGAGATAATCCTTTTTGAAGTAATTTGCACTTTCTCAGTCCTGGAGTTTAAACCAAATATGCAACTCACTTAAAGCTGCTGGGTGAAGATCAAAAAATCTACATTTATATGCAACAATTTGAAATACAAACCATCATGTTACAAAGCTGTCAAGATTTATTAGCAAGACAGTGTAGCATGTGTTGAACTCTGGTTTTAATTAGGCATCTAAATTAGACCATAAAATGGTTGATTAATCTTTTACAAGTTGAGGGGAAAATATAACATAAATTAACCTAATCATAAGTGTTTTCCCAGATGCTCTCAGTTAATAAAATAGTCAATATCTAATAGCAACCTATTTGTTTTAGATAAATAAAAGGCTTAAATGTATGAATTAAATTACGCTTAGCTTCCGAGTGATATGGCATTCATGAACAGGTCTCTAAAAAATTAGCCTATGTCTTAAAAAATATTTATTGACATAAGATACTATAATTAGGAATTAAATGTTAACTAAACTAGCTTTTGCCTTTTTAAAGGAA